AGGTATTTCAGATCGGTAACTATAGACTAATTGTCGAAACATCATTTTCTTTTGGAAGGGCGATAGATATATGCACATGTATATTTTGCGACCACGTTCAGTTATCTTTTAGATATATAAACTAATCTTGTAGGTAAATGCCGAAGGTCAGACAGTATGTTAATACCCGTGCTGGTCCTTCATTGTGAATTTCATCATTTTTCTTCCTCTTATTGCCCGCCTATTATTGTATTTGTCGTTTTCATCTTACTTATTCCTAAGTAAAGTAACTGGGACAAACAGAATTTGTTTCCTCCGCTCTGATTTCTTTAGGGATAAGTTTACTCCTAACCCTTCGATTCTGTCAGACATCAGCGTATAACTACTGAGAGTCAAATGTAACCCTTAGGTTAAGAGGTAGTTGTATTGACGGTAAGTACTGTTGTGTTGCAGTGCGCGACTTTACATTCGTTAAGTCCTTGGTTGACCTATTTCCAATGTGGAATTCGTCATGATATTTGTATACTCTAATATTTTATATCGGTTGCTCTGATCTACCTATGGTTATCATTCGAACGTTAACAATTGTTCATAGTTCATTGTTATCAACTTGTAACTTATGTTTACTAGTTAGTTAGACCACAGATCCTAAATGGCTTTAATTCAGCTAGAGATCGAGAAAGTTCATTACTAACTAAACCACCCAAAAGGCATACGATCATAAGGTACTATAACGCAAACAAATAAATAGGGGCTGTCTCTCATAGGTCAACCATTTCAAGCACCAGTGACTATGTAAACTGACTTTATTTACCTCTTAAGTCGTTCTTATATATTTCAATGTCATGCAGTAGTGCGTCCTAAAATAGGTAGTGTCCTGTGATGATTTACTTCCACTAATGTTGTCTAGGGTTAAGGCGGGAGAAAACAATATGCAACCGACAGTTATGCAACTTAAAAACATATGCAAGTCGCATAGCCAACTAACCTTAGTAGTCCTCACATACACAGTATTTTGAACCATTAGGTTAACTCAGTAGCATATTTCCATATTTTTCGAGTATTCCATTATTTATGGCTAGTAATAACGTACACTAACATTCAATAATGCTATTTTATAGTCACTTAGTTTTGCCTTTTGCATATCACTTTCCTTTTTGTGGGCACTTCAATAGGTATGCTGTTTTACTTGGTGTAAATTTTCCTAATCGGTTATTTTCAAGGTTTTTAGTTCTTTTAATAGATTATATACCCTCAAACAAATAGCATCTGTAGATTCGTTACTTTGATAAAGTGTATTAGAAGTCTAATCAACGTCACATACTATTCAAAGGGTAATATGCCAACTATCAATTTCTAGATTTTTGTTTTGCTAATTAAAAGAACAGTTTCCGAAACATAATTAACCTCCGCGTGATCTTTTTTGTAAACATATGACAGGACATGATTGTTCCTGCTGCATGTTTACAATTCGTGCGTAGAAACAAATTTAACAAGTAAATATTTTATATACCTGACTTCAAGCCACTAGAAGATTAGCTTCTGCTTTGGTGAGGGAAAAACACCTAGGATTGTTAATAGTCAGACACTAACTATTATGCCACCAATCCAGAGTATTTTATTATCTTTGAGTAAACAATAAATGCCCTGGTACGGCCGAGAATGGGGAAAGTCAGCTCTCCCTCTCGAAATGCCTTCACATGGCCACATGCATATAACCACTACCAGGAAATTCCTTCTCGCGGCAGGGGTGTTCACAAAATTGAGAGGACGAAGAGCGAATGTCTGGCTCTTTAACCGGGTTGGTGGACACAGAGATTCTACCTAGAAAAGTTGAAAAACCCTGATTCCAAACTAATGGTGTACATGGGCTCCGGAGGGAACTAATGGGGTATGGACCTATCATTGGTCACCGGCTACCATGGGATTATATCTCCTGACGTTGCTCCACTGCCTTGTGGGTCAGACCTTTAGGACGAAGGCTCCAGGTGTGCCCCCTAAGAAAACCACCTGCTTCGGTTTGGGCACCCGGGCAGTATCACAGCCCTCACACATATCAAATAAAATTTGTGTGGCGAATATGTATCTGGTACCCCCTCGTACTAATATCTATGTGTTTAAATAAAATAAATAAACAATAATTACCCACTTGGATAAAGTATTTTACTAAGTAGGGTAGCAATGTAACAATTTTAATTCAACTTTTCACCGTAACAATATTTTTTGTTGGGTTATTTCCTTAACTCCAGATTAAAGCAATTGCAGAGCTTGATGTACCACAGGCATCTCATTTGGTTGGAGAAATCCTTGCCGAGTTGACTACAAAAAATGTTAAACGAGTCAGTCTGGGATTCCGATGTTTTAAAGATGTACGAGCCTATTTGCCTGATACAAAGGGGAATGGTTTGGAAGCTGGTGTCCTGAAAAGTGTTAAGTTGATGACTCAAGAAGTTCTATCTGGAAGCATTTTGAAGTCTTTGATGTTAAGCTCAGAAAATGTTTTGTCTGACTCCACTACATCTTGTAGGATGAGTGTGGAGTCCAGTGATGTTCAAAAAGAACCAATGGACTTACCAATTGATCATCTTTTTGGTCTGGTTGTGTTCCTCAGATATCTTATTACTAATCTAAACGCTTCTGATGATTGTGAATCCTACGTATGTATTCCACCCATTGAACCCTGTATAGACTTTTGTTTACTTGTGAATGCCGTTTGCGAACTCCAACTTCATTTTGTCAGAGTGGGAAACTCTGAAGTGAATGAAACCGGCTTGTCTCTACTAGATGCATCGTGCGCTCTTTTATCTGAAACCAGCTGGGATAGCTTGTTGTATCAATTATTTGATGGTTTCTCTCACGGACTTATGTATTTCAATTCCGCTTTAGCAAGTGTCAATGTAAGAGTCCTTAATGGCGCCTGGCAACGTACTTGTAGTTTGGATGATCGGGAGAATGACCCGTATCAGTCGTCCACTGATTGCACATCTGCATCGTATCTCTCAATGTTAATAAATAAATGCCTAAGTGGGATGCGCACACTACTAGTCGAAGAACAGTTACCGACAAAAATACTCCGTTCCACTGTTTTAGACCTGCTAATGTACGCTTCCGAAATGGCTGCTATTCAAAACACCAATTGTCAAAATTGGACGGAATCAAACCAAGTATATGAAGAAATCGGTTCGAAACTCAATCTTTCTGATGAATCGTTAGGAGAATTAGATGGAGAACAAGCAGCTGATTTTGAAGATTTTCTAATAGAATCTGGGCAGTTATCAAAAAAATGACGTACTGTAACCTTTTCTAGTGTCAGTACTATGTATATTGTCTTTCTTAGTGTACAAATGTAAAAATTTTTAGTCTCCCTATCATAATTTGTCTAATCGACTATCTTGTGTGTTTATTTCCAAGCATTTATCTTGCTACCTCTTAATCTAAATTGTATTCTCGTCAGCTTACTCTTTACTAATTTGATGTATTACTTTAAAAATAAATGCTCTTGAAAATTTGATTAATTATTATGTTTTCATTTAGCAACAAATCAAGACGTTATAAAAATAGTAAATGATACCAATCAGTGAGGATATTAAAAGTCGATATGCTAAGCTGAAGTGATTAAGTCTGTTTATGTTGTGTCAGACATGATCTAGATGTTAGTTTGAAGTCTCTGATATCGAACACCTGTAATTATATGAAGATGACTTACTGCAACCACGACACTACTTATTGCAGCATTATAGGTGACAGCATGGAACGAGTTTGAATTCCAAAGACAGATGTTGCGCTATTTGTAAAAAGTTAATCAGTTCCGCTGAAATTTCAATAAAAACGAGATTGCAGTCATTAACTACTTAATCTAGTTGAAAACATTAATAGTTAGTCCTAGCAGTACATATGCCCTCGTAATAAATGCATAGATAACAACTCGCCGAGGTGAACGTATATAAAGTAATTCTTATTAGATATCTTAGTGGTACGTTGGGGATGTGATTCGCATGTTTCTCGACAAACATTGGCTATAAATTCTGGATCTTGCTGGTGCATAAAAGAAACGTGAGATAGAATTGTTAATCATGAGAATGGCAACGAAGTAAAGATCGAAAAACTTGATGTGATATTTTGCCCACATTTGTCATTTTGGAGATTTCATATAAGTAGCTATTCTTCATAGTGCAAATAAGCTGCAATATCAGAGGGGATGAATATTTATCTAAGTTAGAGACTAGACTATCTACAGACATCAAGGTATACTGGTTGAATCCAATTGGTATAATGGGATTTGTACATGACTGCAGACATGAAAACAACTTAAAGTGCTGTCAAGCTCGTTTAGACAGTTCGAATTTCACGTTGACGTGGTCAATAAAGTGTAGGATCCGGAAACACTTCTGACTGATAGCTAAGTAGTAATCTGAGAGCAGACAATCTGAAAAACAACCTACTGAAGTTAAATGAGTCTGGTTTAACCACCTTTATTTTTGCTTTTAGATGTAGTAATCTCCGTCTAATCACTCCGCGACGTATTGTGGGCAAGTCTGTACAAAATTCCAGTAGTGAAATGTTTACCTATCTAATAACGATAGTATAACTTATCTGGTTTCATATGTAAGAATATACGATTTAATGACTACAAGTAAAGTAACATGAAATATTCTCAATTCTAACAAGGTAACCCAATTAATTGCAATATCTGATCATAAGCTACTGAATTTTTGTGAGTTAGAGGGAATGAATATCATGTACATAACAAACTGAAATTTGTAGAAGTGAATAACATAACTCAGTAGTTAAGTAAATTTACGGTCCGGTTTTTGAAACGTGACAGGTGAAACCATGGCACACAAAAGTGGTGTTTTAAGTAAAATGCATCTAATGTTGGGTACTATGTAAATAGGTGATTATTGTGAAATATGCGTAAAATATTGGTTTATTCCTTAGAAATTTATTAAACTATAACAGCACTGTTGGCTTTTAAAATCCTCGTATAATCTCCAATGTTGTTGGATGCGGTAGCTACATTGCTACATATTCGATTTCGCTTCCCACCGTTCTTTAGCCTGAAAACTAGAAATAAAACCATTGTTATATAAAGGAATGTTGATTCCTAAAATTATTATTATTATATGCATGACACAGTCCTCAAAAATAAATTAAGCACCAAGTTTTCTAAATAATACAATATCCACTTCACGATCATTTTCCAACTACGAGAAAAGCATGATAACGTTAGTTTGCTTCTAGTTGCCTAACTAATATAATCATACAAAAAAAGTACGAAAAATACCCAGAAGCGACTTTATGCCTTAGCATTATGTAACTACGCAGACGAGTATCCAAGCAAAGTGAGGATGTTACCCACAGGTTTGAACACTTTAGGATAGAGTAAAATAGAAACGTAACAAGGTTTGAAATGCGTCTATACCAATTAGTACTTATTCGATTCCTAAGACCTAAATAAAGCTACATACCTTTAAAAACAACATTTATGATAGTAAATCCCGTCCGATATTGTAAAAAATGATCTTAATAGTTTCCATAAATCAATATATAGTAACCTATTAAAATATTGAATATGTTACCATACATACACTTTGTTTAATTATTTTAATATATGTAAATGTAAGTCACATATGAAATTATGATGAAATCGAATGCTGAACATGTTAAATCGATATAAAGAATATCTTATCTTGAATAAAAATTACATTATTACACTGAAAATAAAACGAATATTATTCTGAACAGTTTTCACATTGAATTAGGGAAAAAAGGCTTGTCAGTTCTGACCAGAATAGTCTTAATATGGTAAACGAAATCACCCATCTTAGGTAGTAAGAATGTAATATCCAACAATGTCTACTTATCTTAACTTTTCATGAAATCAACTTACGCAAAAGTGAAATAATACTTAATTAAAATTTATTTCCAGATGTCACTAACTATATCATATTACATTAGCGTGTAACTTCTATTGAAAGCATCATGAATGAGGCGTTACTTCAGTTAGCAGTTTCCAAAATGACAATGAAAATTCGGTGATTTGTATCATCACAATTCTCGTTACTCAGTCTATTTTTACTGGCTTCAGAGGATATACCTGTGATAAATCAGTAAAAACTTGATAAAGTATATCCAGTTAATGTTATCAGTATTTCTGTGCTTTTTATTTGTTTTACCCTTCAGTGGGTTTTTTTCATCCTAATTGACGTATAATAAATAATATGATAATATATTTGTAATATCCCAATAAATAGTAAAGTGAATTTCTTCCGTTTTATTCACTGAATAAGCGACTTATATTAAGTCGTAAAATATCAGAAGTTTAATATTTTACTCATTGATACATTTTAATAGCATACTTTTGTTCTTTTTGTTATAAACCATTCGCCTAGTTCTTCATTCATTTGAAATTATCCAGTAACATCTTGGTAGCAATACTTAATTCATTTATGTTTACTTTTGTTAGTCTATGCTTAGAAGTGAGACACTTTAAGGAAGATTGGCACTTCAAATCACTGATTTTACTTCTGATCCCGAAAATGATATTACATTAAACGTCTGGTACAAGAGATATGAAGATTTGTTTAAAATTTAATTGGTTGATCTGGACAATGGCACAAGAGCTTTTTCTTTTCTCAAGAAGTTGTGAATACGTTAAATATACGAATGCTATTCTGCCGAAATTGTCTAGAGACATTAATTTGTTGATAATATTTATTATTATTTGAAAGATTTTTGGCGAGTGATCATCCCTACTCACTAGCGATTACAGTTGTTTAAAAATACCCAAGTTGCCTACTGATTCCCTGACTTATGTTGATAGACTGAATCGATCATGAGAGCGTTTTAGTCTGTGTGCCCCCAAATGCCCTGGTACGGCCGAGAGTGGGGAAAGTCCGCCCTCCTCGAAATACTCTCAAACGGCCACGCGTATATAGCCTCTGCCAGGGAAGTCCTACTCACTGCCTTCTCGTGGCGGGGGTGTTGTTTACGAAATTGAAAGGACGAAAAGCGAATGTCTGGTCCTTTAACTGGACTCCAAACCAATGGTGCATATGAGCTCCAGTATCCTTCAGAAACAAATGGCGTATGAACCAATCGGTGGTCACCGGCTTCCATGGGGTTGCATCTCCTCACGATGCTCCACTGTCTTGTGGATCAGACCTTTAGGTCAAAGGCTCGGGATGTGGCCCCCTAGGAAAACCACCTGCTTCGGTCCAGGTGCCCGAGCAGTATCACAGCCCTCACACAAATCGGGTGATTTATGTGGCGCATATCTACTTGGTGCCTCCTTGTACCAATGCTTATGTGTTTAAATAAATAAATAATAATTTAGTCTGTGTTCACTAATCCGAAACCAATTCAGATATTTAATTTTTGCACTGAATTTCAATCACCATTCGATTCTGAAATCTGTAGTCGTATTTTAGCACTTATAGAACAGGATGGTTCTCTCTAACCCCTAAAATATGACAGCGGGGTGCCAAAGAACTGTGAATTTAAAATGAGACACAAAACTAATTGGAAACAGGGGAGATACATACATAATGAACAAACGGTGCCGAAATATGGGCTAACAAACAAAGAAGTAGTCAAGGGGAAAATTTACACTGATAAAAGTACATACTCTTTAATTCCGATGTTTATTTACAAAAATATGCACTGGATTCTTACATATGTACAGCAGAATGCTTAAAGCAACACATTATAGAAACTTTTGTTTTTATTTAACGTCAAGTACAATAATTATAAAGACAATGTTTATGAAGTATTCCTATGAGGACATAAAATAGATGTACTAATTAGTTATTGATTTGAAAAATAATGTATTTAGCATATAAACGGATCGGGAATCATATGGAACCACGCGGCAAACAGATTTGACCGAACTCTTCTGGTTAGCATAAGTAGCATGACATACTAAGCTAACCATCTACTGTTCTTCAACATTAGGCAATACAACAAATAACAAATTAATGCAAAATATGCAGGTGGAAAGTATAAACCTTGGTTTTACAGCTCTCTTATTTACGAACCTCATAAAGCATACTATTTGGCTTATTTTCATGATTATATCTATGAACACAGTAATTAAGAATCTAGTTTTTGTTTCTCATGCGTATCGTTCAAACTGCTCTTTCGTACAGAGTTAATCTCAAAAATCTGTTTAAAATTTGCATTAATAATTATTTACTAAAGAGATTGAATACTAAAACTTTAAATCAAATAAAACTTTATACATGGATTTTTGGTTAATTAAAAATCACACAAAAAGTGAAACAATATGAGAAAGAGATAAATTTAACAGAGAAAAACATGTCACATTTTAATGTAGAATATTGATTCCTTATGACTGTTCATAATAGTGAGCCGTATTCTCATGATAAACTATGAAATTATAAGGTAGACAACATCAAAATGGGTCAAGTTTTCACATTTCGATTCGTAACACAGAAGAGACGAAAATAACGATTAACAAGAATTAAAGTGGAGCGTCAGCTTAAGTGGTTAAGGCGTCTAGCTTTCAACCAGGAGATTAATGTTCGATTCTTACTTCGAGTACAAGCAACCCAATGGTATCACTAGCTTTACAAAAAGTGTGGTTCTCAGGTTCGTACGTAAATCTGTACTTGATAAATAAGTAACATATGCACGAACTAGAAAGAAGGGTAGGCCAAGGACTGAATAAACAAATGTCTTATACCTAATTAAAGACTTGGATTATCTCGTTACTGATAAATCTTGACAGATTTTTTTTACTAGTCTTAACTGGGATATATACACCCTGAGCGGATAGCCTCGATAGAGCCATTTTCACAACATTTTACTGAATAGATGGGTTTTGGCTAGAACTAAATCCAGAACGATCGTTTCGTCTCGCTTGGGGCACGTCAGCTGGATGCATGCGATTCACGTACATTCAGCAGACGAGTTTAAAACGACAAAATGCGTGTCCTGTATTTCGCTGCTAGACACAATCCATCTTTTATATTAAATGTTTGTAGTTGAGTCTAAAAAGATGTGAAAATTTCCACAACCATCTTACTAAACTATGACGTTTAAATTATCAACAAATAATCCCTTATATTTCAAATATCATAAGCATGTTTAGAACAATTGCAAACAATTTAAACCAAGAGATGATAACTGATGATCAGCTGGCAAAAAGACTTGGTTTGGCCAACCTGAAACTTTCTCATGTCTAACTTAACAATGAAGATCGGAGTAGGAAGTGACTAATCCTGTGTAGAATTTATTCTGATTTTTTCACTTAATGCATGTAGACACCTTTATCAGATAAATTTACTTCTTGTGCAATAAATCTCATCAAAAAAATTTGTGTTAGTCGTCTATAAGACGTAGTGCGTATACGCACTTGTTGCTTTAAAGTGATGAATACGTATATGTGGTTTGTTTGTGTGGTACATATTTCCCTTTAGCTTTTCAAAAGAAAGCTTTTAGACAGAACAATCAGTTGAGTGCAACAAGTGATGTGAGTTGGTGTGTGTTAACAAGACAATTTGTATTACTGAGGAAATAAGCCACCCATCAATCATGTGAATGAGGAGTTCAGTACATCTTACGGGATGACTTTTGTAATCAAATTGTCGTGATGTATTAGGCAGGGGTTCTTAGCATTAGTAAATTCATAATATAGGGCCATCACTACGATACAATACCATTAGTGAATATCCATCTTTGATTTTACATTTATCGATACTGTAATAAGTCTTTTACCACATAAAAAATCAACCTTGTTAATTTTCAAAGTTAACAAAAATAGACAGACAAACAGTTACAGATATGGTGTTCCATAAAAAAAAGCATAAAACAGGAAAAATTGACTCAATAAATCATAAACTTACAGCCAAACAGGTCGCCGATTTTTTAATTCCTCTTTGTATTCATCTTGCTTGCTCAAAGTCAAATGAATTTTTTTGTCGGAAGAAGCTGTAGACAACAACTATAGATTTGAGGAAAAATCGAGGTGGATGAGAATGACTGACACAATAAATTACTATTTATGAATTATTTTTATACTTAAATGGATTGTATTATTAATGTATTACGGTTGTCGAACCAGCTGTACTTTCTGAATTAAGTATTTGATAAACATAGAGTAATCTTTCAGAACTTAGCAACTGAGGATCAGCACTAGAAATAATTGATACGCTGAGTCGATCAGACAGGTTAAATGACAAGTGAGAAATGCTGACGGGCGCACGTTATTGACCAAGATTCGGCCTGACTTTTCAAGGAAATAAACATACGCTACAGATTAAAAATGTGGCTTCATTTTCTGAGGGACATATATTTATGTTTGTGAGTTGTGTATACATTTTTGATCCGGTTAGCCTATCAAAAATTCCTACTCACTCTCGGTTTTCACACTTAATTAGCTACATATATAGTAAGCGTGTTTTTTATCAGTAGCAAACTCGAACAACCGCAGAGCATAGCAGTAGTTTCTGATGTCAAACCTCTTTTGTTATAAAACATCTTATAATAAATCTTTTGATCATTTAAACATGGGTTTTCAAAACATATAGACTATGAATGAATCAGTAAAATATAATAAAAATTATTTGTGAATTCCCATTAATTACTTGCTCTACGAATGAAAGTCACGGATATTACAGATTGCCATAAAATGTGCTCATAAATTGCAATTTTTATTTAAGTGAGTGGCGCAACTATACAAACTAGAGGTTTTTATCAAAGAAATATTAATCAATATGTTATATATGATACTTTCCTTGGGAAAAATACAGTTAAGATGCGCCACTTTGTATTTTTGATTTAACTGAATCCAGTTACGATGTCAGAAATAGATGAACAAATAATTTATTATTTGCAATTCAATTTATGATATAAAAGATTGCACATTCGATTTTCCATGTATTTAAAGTAATTCTTCCTAAGAAACAAGTGTTAGGATTGAGAGAATAAGGTAAAAGGAAAACCTTTGTAGGCTTTCCTCATAACTAGTATATATATATATATATATATATATATATATATATATATATATAACCCAGCCTGTAGCTCTTCTAGAGTTACTGCCGGTCCCAAGCTCTGGTAAAAGAAGAAGATTGGGCATGTGGTCAGCAACCCCACTCCGTAGAAAACAATCTTGCTAAAATAACGCCATCCAGATCAAACAAATCAAACCATTTAAACTCTGACTCTGAGTTGAAGGGAGAATCATGACGCCTCATGATGAAAGCCGAGATTATTTGAAAGTCACAATGCCGATGCCCCTTCTAGCAACCAGAGCAACAATTTCTATGGGTACATCGAACGTCCGGATAATTGGACCAAAGCTGGACGGCAAAGGCTAGATATCAGAGAGATGCTGCTGTACTCCGGTCACAAAGAGGAAAATGCTTCACACACTCAGGGAGTTGCTCTTATGCTGTACAAAGAAACACGAAATGCACTTATGGGATGGGAATCTCACGGATCCAACATCATCAAAGCATCCTTCAAAACAATGAAGGAGGGAATTACAATGAATATTATCCAATTTTATGCACCCACTGATGATAGCAATGACGACGATTAAGATCATTTTCATGAGAGGCCGCAACCGATCATAGCAAAGTGCCCAAGGAAAGGACCTCACCATCCTGATGAGGGACCTAAACGCAAAAGTCGGAATGGACAACATCGAATATGAAGATATCATGGGAAGACATGGACTAAGAGAAAAGGATGAAAATGAGGAGAGATTTACAAGTCTATGTGCATTCAACAAATTGGTTAAAGCGGCACAATATTCTCACTCAAACGCATGTACAGAGTTATATGGATTTCACTGAATCACACCACGGAGAACGAGACAGATCATATTCGCAGTTCACAGATTCTCTCGAGTCATCGCCTGTATATGTTGGGACTATGAGTTAGCAATTCTTAGGTTAGAGGCGGAGTACTAGATAAGGATGGTGAATCGACTGGTAATGCTAATGAGTAATCAACTGAGGTGGTTGTTACATATATGAGGCTTTACATATCCCTAACCCCCACTTATAGCGGCGCACAATCATGACTGGTGTATGAGTACATTGGAAGAAAGCTAAAGGCAACTAAACCGAGACATGACGATTCGACTGAACCATATAGACAAATGCAGACCGCCTAGTTAGAATATTGTAATCAGTGGCTGAAGCTGTTGTGTGAAATAGCCGAGAATCGTTTGAAATGCCGCAGGTGCATCTACACTTTGTCTATCCTTATATCCTGAGTCCGAAAATCCTTTAATCTTTTAACTCTGTGTCTAGTCTTTTCTACTATTACTACTGATTATGTTAATACTTCTAACAAACTGGGATTTATCTTGATAATTTTACCCCGCCGTTAAAATGTGTTGTCTCAACTCGAACCGATGATGCACATGTGCCAGGTTTTACACTATTTACGACTGATTATTTAGAGAGGAACAGGGTAATAATCCTTCAGTAATAGATATAGACTAAACTAATTAGATCAATAAAGATGTTCTGAACACTTTTTAGATGACTATCAGTGTTAAAGTATTCTCAGTGTCTAAATATTCTTAAAGCCAGCTGCCTAAGAATGATTATGCTGTTTGCATGGTATGATCAGGTTATCTTTGAGTTTTACCTCATTTCAGTAACATAACTAGATCCAAAATTCTACATTCGAATCTTTTTTTTGGTACCAAAAGGCCGTCACAGTTACAGATATGTTACGTGTAACATACAATGTAAATAGTAAATATAAATTTCACTATTATTGGATTCAAACTATCATTTACCAACACAGAACATTACGAATATATCGCGTACGTAGAACAAGAACTGTTTTGTCTATGGGGTGAATACGAGTTTTTATTTTATTTCTATACAGCTACTGGGTCACTACATCATAAAGACCGTTCAGTATGATTAACATCAGTAGGACACCAATATTTTAAAGCTCCTCTAAACAATGTTGGTAGGGTGAATTTTAGAAACACAATCAAATATTCTCGGAGTTTTCAAGTATTTTTTTAACATGCTTTAAAATAAAACTGAGACAAATGAACGCTGAATATCATTATTTCACCAAGAATTCATAAATTTATCGAGAAATTAGTCGTATGAGTTTACGTAATGTACATAATTAGATTAAATAGGCATGAGCATATATATACATATATGTATCTATATGTTAATAATTTTAAAACGAGACAGAATAAGGAGTTCGCTAATAGTTATTAATTAAAGTAGGAGAGAATAAATTATTTTGTGATCCAAACTCACACTTGAAAATCTACCTTTTGAGGGTATTTGCATAAAATGCGATTCAGAGTACAAACGTAACCGGAAAACCACATGATATAACTTACATGATCTCCAATGGAGTCACTTATCTTTTCTGCTAGGTCAGCCTGCCCAGAATCGATTGCGCGGTTCAAACGCCATTCTAAAGTGCCTTTATGTAAACTCTCAGCATGAATACGACTTAGGTCCTTAGAATTAGATGCGTTTATAACAACTGAAGCGAGGTGAGACTGGATAAGAAAAGTCGTACAGTTAGTTTAAAAAAAAGGCACTGACAATAAATAGTATTTGATTTACCTAAAATGAAAACCATAACAGATGGAAATGGGTTTCATACCTATCGAAACTCACCGATATTCTGCAAAAAGTATTGCCCTTACAAAATCTCAGGTCGTGAAGGTTAGATACTCATTATAGTGTGACCGGAATAAACAGTGCAACTTAAAATGTTTTAGGGACAGCAAATCAGACAGAAGACACCAAGTTGAAAACCCAAATACCACATATATGAAGCTGTAAGAAAACTAAACTATCGGACCGAGTGAACATCAAAGTACTGAAACTATTACCTAATAGCATGAAAATTAAGTACTATAAAGTGAAACTTGTATCAATAAAACACTATATACTTTAAACTCGACCGCTGTTGCTACCTTGACGTGGTGGTCGGACTTGCCTATCGTGATGACCCAACCGAACTATACTGGCTGGAACAACTGTTCCTCAAGGTCCTACCATGTCAGACAGGTCGGTTGAAGAGCGGTAAGACTAAAAGCAACAAACCTAAGGTCTGAAGGCGAAGTCGTACTGCTGACTGTACAGAGGTGTGACAGCAGTAAGGTGTTTCCTCCAGACAACCAGCATGACAGCAATGCTGCCTTCCCACAAGGAGGGGTGGGGTTAGAAAAGGTCGACCCTAAAAATGCACACCTCGCCTTATCCCACGGATATCCGTCTCCGGCGGTAAGGTCTCAACAAGTACGGAGCTAACACAAAAATTACCCATAAAAATGTCGTGTGTGACCGACCTCAAACAGTTGTCCCTTGGGCATTGCGGTCACGCTCCCAGGTCACTAAGACCACCTCTAATCCAATTTCCTTTTCAGGTACCTCCAGAAGAACCCTTCCTCGGTGTGGGCAACCGGGGAGTGATAACCGCCCTCATACCTCTAACAGCACTCAAGACCACTGTATTCATAATCAACCTTCGTCTTCACTTCCTATTACTCCTCCTACATCGACTTTCACCCCTAAACTTCCTCCTTCGGCTTCCTCCTCAAGTGTCACCATAGCCAACAATTCTAGTGCTCAAAACACTGTCTCAGGTCTACTGAAACCTCGTTCCAAACTACACATTGGAGCCTTCAATGTACACACACTATGTCAAATCGGTCAACAGGCTTCCTTCGCTAAAACCCTAGAATCTTGTACTATTGATGTATGCTGTGTCTCTGAAACACGCATACAGGATTCCAGTGTGGTGATTCACTTGATCTCACCTCGGCAAAATGGAGAGCCAACGAGATAAACTCTCCGTGTATCTGGTGGCCCGACGGCCAGCTCTCGTGGACTGGCAGGAGTAGGGATAGCACTAAGCATGAGGGCGGAACAAGCACTGTTAGAATGGATCCCCGTTAACAGTCGTCTATGTGCTGTTCGGCTAAACGGCTCTGTAAGAACTCGGAAGGATAGGGACATATGTCGTTGCCTTTTTGTCGTTTCTGACTACGCTCCCACCGACTGCAGGTCAGATGAAATGAAAGATGAATTTTACAGAAAGCTATCTGAACTTCTTCAGAAAGCTAAACGCTCAGACATAGTACTCGTAGCAGGTGACTTTAATGTCCAGATAGGTAGTTTAAACCAAACAGAAAGGTATTTAGGTGGGTATTTTAGTATTCCGGCTCAGTGAACAGATAATGGTGATCGTCTGCTGCAACTGTGCTCAGACAATCGTTTATTTTTAGCAAAAACAAACTTTAGGCATAAGGAGAGACATCGTCTAACATGGCGACCGCCTACACCAAGCCAACGATGGACTCGAATAGACCATATTGCCATCGGCCATCGTTGGAGAGGGTCGGTAGAAGATTGTCGCTCATTCTGGAGTACCTGCTTGGACTCCGACCACGCCCTCATACGGGCACGCATCTGCCTGCCCCTCACTGTACGCAAAAAAGCCACACTAAAAAGACCCATTAGATCTGAATTGAGTAGCGAGAAAACCAAAAGTAGGTTCCAGGAACAACTGAGGTCACACTTAGGTAGTTCTGAAAACTAGGCTGACCCAGATGTTGCTTGGAAAGGTATACAAACAGCAGTGACATCTATCAGTGATTTAAACCACAGGGTTACAAAGAACCAATGGATTTCCTCAAGGTCTATTGCACTGATGGATTCTCGTAAACCAATCCCATCAGGCTCTGAACACGATGGAGAGCGAAAACAAATCAGATCTAGGTTAAGAAAAAGTCTAAGGAACGACCGTGAGCAGTGGTGGGCAACGAAAGCAAAGGAGATGGAAAAGGCGGTGGCTATAGGGAACACAAAACAGCTCTACAGACTAATAAAAGAAACTGGAATTAATAAGTGTAAGTCAGACTATTTAGGAAAAAGACGACACCCTCATCTGCTCTTAAAAGCAGCATTTGATTCGGTAGACAGCGAGATTCTGTGGCAATGTCTGTCATTGAAAGGCGTACCTCAGAAGTACATAAACCTTGTGAAGGCTCTTTTCTCGAACACTACCAATCGAGTCAGAGCTTATGGCGAACTGTCATCTGCTTTTGCAACCTCAAGTGGTGTCCGACAAGGCTGTCCACTTTCTCCATTTCTGTTTAACTTCATCATAGACCTATTGATGGAAATAACACTCTCGTCGACTGAATTCTCGGGTATTGATCTCCATCCAGGAGGTCCACTTATCGACTTAGAATACGCGGATGACATAGTCCTGTTTGGTGAAGACGCTGATAAGATGCAGAGTCTTTTGGTAGCACTGAGCAACAATGCCAGAATGTTTGGAATGCGCTTCTCTCCCTCTAAATACAAGTTGTTGCTTCAGGACTGGTCTGCGTCAACACCTGAACTAAGGATAGGGAGTAAAGTAGTCGAACGCGTTGACAACTTTACTTATCTCGGAAGTCTGATCAGCCCTAATGGGTTGGTGTCTGACGAAATCTCAGCACAGATTCGAAAAGTTCGTTTGGCTTTTGCCAACTTACGTCACCTATGGCGAAGGCGAGATATCCGTCTATCAATAAAAGGACGAGTATACTGCGCGGCAGTCCGTTCTGTTTTAATTTACGGCAGCGAAACATGGCCATTAAGAGTAGAAGACACTCGTAAGCTATTAGTATTTGACCACAGATGCCTTAGAAATATTGCTGGCGTCTGCTGGGATCACCGGGTAAGTAATAATGAGGTTCGACGCAGGGTATTAGGAAATGATGGTAAATCAGTTGATGAGGTTATGAATCTTCATCGACTGAGATGGTTGGGCCACGTGTTACGTATGCCTGAACATCGATTACCACGACGTGCAATGATATCCGGTATTGGAAATGGTTGGAAGAAAGTTAGGGGCGGCCAAGCCGAAACGTAGCATCAGTGCTTGAAGTCACTAACTTCTAGTCTGAGCCATGTTGGTAGATGCAGACTACTTGGTTGTAGTCCGCGTGACTATCGTAACCAATGGTTGGAGACTCTTGGTGACATGGCTCAGAATCGATCACAATCGCGTCGGTGTATACACCCCCTGTCTTCCCTTAAACTAAGAGATTAAAATTGCTTCATATCTTTCTTTCTGTACTATATCCTTATTACAATCTTTCTTTTATATATTACCACCTCTGAATTAACTACTTTTATGAATCCGGTGTCCGTCTTGTTGCGTTAATGAGGTATGGCAACTTGGACCGATGCATAAATGTGCCTGGTTCTAGGTTGTAGCTGACTGACTGATATACTTTAAAGCTTAATATTTGCAGAGTCATGTATTGAACTACTGACGAAATGTGACACAAGGAATGAAAATGCTACCATGATGCTAGTATGAGTTAGAATGAACAGGAATTCATGATTGACTATTTACTGAATGAGCATTGAAATCATATACACTCCGATAGCTTTGACTGTTAATAAAGGTCAGACATAAGCACTGATGGTTATATCTCTTTGTATTTCAATTATCATATATATATATATATATGAAAACAACCAAGTCTATTAGTGGAAAGTATGAATGAATTTTACTATCCTATTATCGTTAGTGGAAGAAAAATTATTATACCGTCTTATTTGTCGAATCCATTGACTTCAATTTTCTTTGTTTCCAAGGTCGCAGAGTCATATCCTGCTTATTTACCTCAAATTCAATTGCCCGGAGGCATGTAGCAGTCGCTGATGATTTTGGCACAATTTCTAGAACTATATGTGGAAAACTCTAGTCACTAGACTAAGAAATTACTAACCATCGTTAATTATTTTCCTTTTTAATTCAACTTCTCGGATCTTCGTCGAACGAGAACACATAAGACGTTTGCGTTCCTGAAGAGAATGTAATTTCTACACGAAAGCTTGATTTACTTTTTAATGAAAGATACCTGCAATAATTCTTCGCGCATGATTTACCATCCGTAAATGTGTGTATTTTTACGGACTAGCAAATGCTCCTCCATTTAATACAGTGAATCGCCCATCAGTTGATCTGAAAAAGGGGTGAATGAAAGAGTGATGATAAATGCAAATAAAACTAAGACTCTATCTAGATAATATATATTAGAGTTTCCCAGTTGGTTTAGGATACGACGCCTGTAGCTATTATAATAAAGTATTTTAGGTTCTGTGATTGAACCGTTTTGGTTGTTAGGATGAGTATAATACTGATAGATGGTGGGTTTGACTAAAAACTGTTCACGTAATCAAACTACTGACGAAAACATAATGAACTGATTTCAAAAAGCAAAACAAATGATCAGCAAGAGTTTCCTTCCCAGTGAAATGACAAACTCATGTGAAAACAACAAACGCTAACAAATACGAATAGTTGCTACTTAAAATGTAAGCAATTGTAAAATAGTTTTTAAGTCATTCGACTTCCAATGAAATAGAAATGGACTATTCAGTTTAATTACTACAAGTTGTATCGTCTCCTCAATAAAGCCTCAATTATTTTTACGGCATTTACTACTACATGCCATGTTTATTCCCATTGATTTGGTTTCATACTGGTGTCTATGATGGTGAAAATAAATAAATCATGTAAGTCGGATTGTACTGTACCTTTTCCCATATTATATTGATCTTAGTATTGTTTTGAATATACGGTAATACACTTGTAGTCGTATTCCTAAAAGCGAAAAAAGAAGTTCGCCGTTTTCACCTGCAAATTGTGATTAAAATAACGATACTTTCTACAAACAAAATTTTTAATTCCTCAAAATTTCATAAATTGTTCAAGTAGAATTGAAACCATATGTGTATGCCGAGATAGTCTTTTTCAAACTACAGTAAAGTCATTATTTGCCGCAGCAACTAAATTACAATAAAAAGTTTGGGGCGTAGTGAATATTGTTTGTTTATAGTGGAGAAGGGCTCATTTTAATGGTCATCCCAAAGATATAGATATTGTGAATCTTAAAATAATTAACCACCAGATTTTCCCTTCTCACCCTTACCAAACAGTTTACAAGTAACGTTATTTAGTAATATAGTATTATGTTAGTTTCCAACATCTCTGAATAATAGAATTGTAACAAGTGCTGCTCCCAAGGTATGCATCAGTATACTAAAGAAGGTAGAATTTTAATTGGTAAGTTTAGGTCTAATCGATCTACAGTGAACTACCAGTTGTCAAGTTTGGGAAACTGCTTAACTTCCTGTCCACTTTAGCATGAACCCTGTTTTTTGAAGGAATTTACTACAATTTGTGGAAGTTATAAAACCTTTTTAAGAATGGCTGCCTAAGTAACCATGTTAAAGTACATAAGACACCATGACGGTAGGAAAAACACTGAGCATTTTGTGAATGATATTCGTCATTACCATAAGTTTATTTTTTCGTTTGAGTAAAAAAGTTCGTATTAACGCGGAGAATTTGATACTCTTCCGAACAGTGCAATGTAACATATGGACTTAGGTGTATCAACACCTATATAACATAGTTCTCCAAACATTACTGTCGAAATTCCTCCCAAATAATAGACGTCAGGGGGGAAATCGGCTTTTCTTCTTTATTTACTCTATGGTCAACCTTATTTCTGCTTTAGTTCGCGTCCATTCCCCCTTTCACGGTTCCCTAGATAACTTAAGTCATTTCATGTTGTCAAGACTTTCACCGTTCTTAAACAATAATACGTGATACTGATGAATCTATATGATTACACGTAGTCACTGTTTGTTCATATATGAACAAGCGGCGATCTGAAAAATACTTTAGAAGTGAACTAGTATGCATGTGGATGGACCAGTTTAATTCATAACATCTGATCGAGTGAATTTAACTTATAAAAACTGTACATTAACGTAACATCAGCTAAAACTTCGGCTAGAGCATAACCTACGAATGACCTTTGGGCGGCGGTGAAATGACCTTGAAACAACTTCAAATTACTATCGGTTTCAGTTTCAGTTTGGGAAGGACAGGAGGCTCGATGGCCTATGTTAGTTCTGGCAATGGTGGTCTCTCAGTTGATCCAACTTTCTTTTGAAAGAGTCGACGGATGGAGCCTCAATCACGTGCTGAGGTAGTGAATTCCACTCGTTCATGATTCGATGGGAAAGTCGATAGTCAGCTGACAAGTAATTTGTTCTCGGCTTGTGAACTTTTTTGGAGTGTCCTCGTAAATTCTCTGTTTTGGAAGACAAGAAAAATGAGGGCATGTTAGGTGCAATTTGTAGACTGTAATCAAGTCGCCTCTAGCTCTGCGATATGACAACGGGAAAAGGTTCAGCTTGGCCAGTCGAGATTCATACGGAAGCTTCGCTATTCCGGGAACCAGCTTAGTCGGCGTTCTCTGAACCTTTTCCAGAAGCTCACTGTCTTTTTTAAAGCAGGGGCTAGCCGCTTGTATGCAGTACTCAAGTTTAGGGCGAACGAACACTGTATACAAAGTCAAAAACGTCTTAGCGTCGACATGACTAAAAGCCCTACGTATTGACCATAACGTTCTAAAACTTTTGGCGGCTATTGCACGGCAGTGTGCAGTAGTCTTTAAATCTTGACTAACGATAACTCCTAAGTCATTATATATCTGGACGACAGGTAGCTCAGTGTTATTCATCGTGTATATATCTGTGCCTTGATGACCGATATGCATCACAACACACTTGGAAGTATTTATCGGCAACTGCCAGGTTTGAGACCATTCAGATAACTTCTTCAGGTCATTTTGAAGTTCTTAGCTATCTTTCTTACATCGTATCGTTCTCCATATCTTGACATCGTCAGCATATAGCAAGACCGATGATGATAGGAGACAAGGAAGGTCATTTACATACAAGAGGAATAGCACTGGCCCCAAAACTGTACCCTGGAGGACTCCACTAAGCACGGTTTCCCAGCTAGACAACTTGGAGTTCACCCTTACTCTTTGTTGACGCCCAACTAAGAAGTCTTTTATCCACATCAATAAATTACCTCCAATCCCGACATGTCTTAACTTATATAACAGCCGGTTGTGCGGAACTTTATCAAAGGCTTTACTGAAATCAATGAAGGTGACGTCTACAGGTAGCTTTTGGTCCTTAAGAGCACACCAGCTTTCACGAGCCACTAATAAGTTAGTGAGACAAGAATAACCTATTCTGAAGCCATGCTGCTTCTCCGAGAGGATCCGGTTTTTATCGAGATACTTAAACAGCTCCTTCCGAATAATCTTTTCTAATATTTTAACAACCACACTAGTTAGGCTAACGGAGCGGTAGTTCACAGGTTTGTGTTTCGTGCCTGTTTTGAAGACAGGACTTACTATGGCATTTTTCCAATCTTTCGGTAAGCGACCCTGCGTAACGGATAGGTTAAAGCATGTACTTAAAGGGTTCGCAACAAAGTTAGATAATTCCTTCAGTAGCCTAGGATGTAATTCATCGGGCCCCATGGATTTACCTATGTCAAGCTTATTTAGCAGACCAAAGAGATCGAGTTCTTTAATGGTCACGCTATCCAGTGTATGTATGGGGGGATCTGTATACGCTGACGAGAAGGGCGCTTCTATGGTATACACGTTGCTAAAGTAGTTCGAGAACGCTTGAGCCTTACCAAAGTCGTCCTCCACTAATGATGAAGCAGTACTGTCTCCCCATAGAGCAGGAATATTTCCTTTTCTCCTTGTCCTTTGGTTTATATAGGAATACAAGCGTTTAGGATATTCTATGGATTCCTTAACACGTTTTTCTTCGTACAATTTTCTAGACTTACGGAGGGTCGAGGCACAAGTGTTCCGAGCCTTTCGATACTGAGATTTTGACTCACCAGTCCCCAGTAACCTAAATCTATCCCACGTTTTCCTTTTCTTACGGAGAAGGATACGGACCTCCCTACTGAACCATGGTGGTGAGTTTTTCGGCCCCTTTGGTATAGTCCAAGGGATGTGAGGTGTGGTAACTTTTAAGTATGATTTTCGAAATGTGTCCCAGGCCGTTTCAATGGAGGACTCTGGGTCTATTGTCCAATCTATTAACGATGCTGAGTGCATGATGTCTGGTATGTTTGCTTTCCAGACGTTGGGTCTGGACTGGACTGACGCGTCCTCATGACTGGCAGTTATATGGAAGTCAAAAGTTAAAACTGCGTGGTCACTTTTACCTAAGGGTGGCATATGGTGGAGGTTCGCAACATCATCCTCATAGTGAGTCAGTATAAGATCTAATAAGGATGATTCAATGTCCGGATCGTACCTTGTCGCTTCTTTCACATGTTGCACTAGAGCACATGTGATAACCCCATCAACTAGTTCCTGCTCGAAAGAATTCTCCGACGATTTAGTTCGCAGATTTTCCCAGTCTACCATAGGTGCATTAAAGTCCCCTAGGATTAGACATCGACCACTTTGGGACCAAGTATTGAGACTGCTTAACAGGATCTCATTTGCCTCACAGCTTGGACTGCCATAGACCAAACCAATCAGCAGCTCTTGTCCCTTGCATTTTAAGCGAAGACTAATTCACACGTCCCACTCTCATGGGATACACTATCGATAATGGTAAATGGGATAGCATTCCTAATGAATAGAGCTACTCCCCCTCCTTTGCGCTTTTGTGTTCTGTCGGTCCTTACTAACGTAAAGCCCTCGAAATCAAGTTCTATACTATCTATAGCCTGTGTCAGCCAGGTTTCTGTTACTGCGATTATATCTGACTTTGTAGAGTCAATCTGT